TTTGCTTTTTACTTATATAATTATTCAAGAAAGTTGAAAGTTTTTCAACCAAATTTGCGTAATCAAGAATGTAACGTACCCTGAAATCGTGTATACTCGCAAAAGTAGCTAAGTACAAAGTGCCTTTACGCGGAACGATCGATTGATCGTCCTGGAGCGATGTTGCCACGTAATTAGCATTTTTCTGCAACACGCGCGCGAGCCTCGACTCTTAAGTGCGTCCGATTAAATCGCGACTTAATGAAAGGGAAGACTACGACGAGTTACGAACTAAAGTGACTGGAAGGAAAGGGTGAAGATCTAGAGGAAAAGACGGAACTGATGCGAAAACGACGAAGTGACCATTAAGGTTTGCATCGTGTTCTCTTCAGATTCTACTGTAATCGCGTCTTGAATGACTAATTAAAAGAAAAGCTTTGCTTCAAATTAAAATAGCCAATATCTAAATAATTATTCAAGATTTACTATAAAAGACTGAAAAAAGACTAAATTATTTTTATACCAAAATAATTCTGTAAAAAGCATTTATACAGAATTTTGAAAGATAATAAATATAATTGTGCAAAGAAATGTATAATTACTTTGCCTAAAGATATGTTTTCAATACCAAAATTATAATATTTCAACTTATCTGCAAATTGCTTTCAAAGGAAGTGTAATGATAAGTTGCGTAAAATGTAAGGACAAGTAATTATCAATAAATCCAAGGGAGTTTATCTCGCATAAACTCCGGACATTTTTTAATTCAATCCAAAGGCAAAGCCGCATCTGTAAAGACACATGTCGTACGATATATACGTGTATGTATCGCTCCTGGAGGATTATACGCTCGCGTGACAAGGATCGCGTCCGCGTTCCTGCGGCTCGCAGGTCCGATTCGTACGGCGCATTAGATACACGCTTTGATATCAGCCCCGACAAGCCAGTCCTCTGCTCCTTTTCTCGCGTCCTTGCGTACTTTTTCTCGTCCGTGTAATCGCTCACTGACTTCTCTCGCATTCTTCATTGCATCGATGTGTCGGGCGCTCGACTGCGATGTTTCGCGACTCTTCGCAGATAAGGATTATGGACCGGCAGCGAAAAGTAACAAAGTATCATGCTCGATATGGTGTTGATCAAGCGAAAAAGTCATGAATAAATTAAAGGAATGGATAACGAATCCTGTCTCTGCAGAAGATTTTTTTCTACAGACCAATGTAACATCGCGAATATTATTTTGATGAAATAATATAATTCAAATTTTATATAAATGTTTCTTTTTTTAGATTTTAAAATTTTATGTAAAATATAATATATTAATTTTCTTCTCTCGTCATCGAAATGATTGATTCCGATTAGGCACAAAGTGGAGCAAAGCAACCAGTGCAAATCATGCAAATCACCGTTTTTAGCTTATTAAGAGTCCATCCCGATATTATCACGCAGCGCTTCGGGAGATCTTATTGACTCTTCGCGCGCGGCTCGATAATAGCGCGCTGAGCAACTCGCGACGGCCGAACAATGCCGAATCGCCGATCAGGCGCGATGCAATCTGCAAATTTGATTGCGAATCATGCAAGCGGATCGGCAGCGCGTAAGAAAAGGTATCTCGCGCGGCGTGTGCGTTGAGGTGTGCTTAAATATTAAAAACAGTATCCGGAGAGCGCGTCGGCGGCGCATTCCCGATGAGAGCGATCGTCGATCGTCGATACAATCAATAAACCTGATTGTGAATCACTTAGCGGCGTTGTTCATCGCGCGGATATTCTCTCCGTCCGATCGTGTCGGGGAGGCCAGGAGAGAAAAGGAGGCGCGAGAGAAGGATCAGGATGGATATACATATTATACACGTGTAGCGGTGCAGCGAGAAAGGCAGACAGAGAGTGAGAGAGAGAATGGGAAGAGGTGGTGCGGGGAGGGGATGGGCAGGACCCATTAGGCTAATCCCTCGTCGGCGGTCGAAGCCAAAGGAACGGAATAAGAAGGAATAAGAAAGCCACAGGCTACGTGTCATTCCTGCTCGCCTGCCGACACCTATACCCGGACCGACACCTCCGCCATAGTACGAGTATATCCGTCCAGAGGTGCTCCCTATCACGATTACCCTCGCTTCCTATTCCACGCGAGCGAGTAAACTCATCCGTAAGTTATTCCGCCGCACGCGGCGCCGCACGCGGTAGTAAGTCTCCCTTATCTGCTCACGGAAAGCGCGATGAAGTAAATCAGAAGCAGCCAAGTGCCTCGCATCGCAGACAACTGCAATTAGGGGTCAAGATTTTCATTAGAATTGTCGGTGATTTATGCTAGTGAGCGCAGAATGGTGGAACCAATCTTTGCGGTTTTATTAATATTACAGATTTTTATTATATTAAAATTAATATGATGATATTAATGGTTAGTAATCACATTAAAATATATAAAAATCTCCTTTTTTCATATACTTTCACAATAAATCTCTGTTACGAATCTCTAGTTAATGAATTTCCGCAGAAAGTATCCGCTTTATAACTCGCGAGATTTCAATAGCAGTTTAAGTGTTTCTTCTGGTTTGATTATAAATGGCAGGAAGTCGTAAAGCCGTATGGTTCATTTCGGCGTTTATTTCCACGGCGTGTGAACGACGACGCCGCTTTGTCTCGAAATTTGCAATGAGCGGCGCGTACAAATTATATTGCCGACGCTTTAATTCGGTCGATCGGCGTTAATCAATTTTACTGGCCGCGAAAGCGGTTAATGACGAATAAACGGCGGTGTAAATGAAACCAAATGCGTACCCGCTCGTTAAATAATTATTCATTTTTGCGCGAATCGAAGGCGTGCAAGGACGAAAGCTGAACGAGGACAAGCGGACGAGATTTCTATCGTCGTAATTTTGGAGAAAAGATTATGAAGCGCGTGCGGTAGTTACATATTGGCAAGTCGTGCATAATTAACCGTGCCGAAAGCGATACGCATCTGTAATTGACGGTTTCGCGGTTTCCCCAACGTTTGCGGTAACGTTTTTTTACAGGCGCCTTCTAATTGATGAAAAAAATTCACGCCTGATTCGAAGACCTTAATTATTATTTTCCAAAATTTATCAAGCTTCTGGTTATTTATGATTATACCATGCGATGATATTTTCTTATTGCTGTCCTGTTAGTGTAGCTCAGTTCTCTTCTCAGGTTCAAATCGCTTGTAAAACGTCGTTCGCGCGAAAAATCACGCGCCACGCGCGCGCAAATCATAAAACCAATTCTCCCGATTAGATTAATTAAAGAATCGCTCGTCGCAGACGACGAGGAGTCGCAAATGAGCACCACTGCCGACGTGTGGCAGGCGGCCCGTTTGATCTCCGCGGGACCCTCACGAAGCCCCTGGGCCTTGAGGCCCGCTCTTGCCTCTTGGCTCTCGACTCTTTCCTCGACATTCTCGACGGACTGCGATCGAAGGATCTTTTCTCGACCCCGGCAGCATCCACGCCGGGCTGACTTTTTAAGACTTTAGGACACCTGTACCGCTAATTCCTCCGTGTCTACCTGTATCAATCACGAAAACAGATTCCAGCTTCGTAACACAACGTACATACGAATAGCCAGACTTAAGACTTGAGTTGTTCCATCAAAACGAGATGGGAATCTGGATTGAAAAGAATCGAAGGCATTTATAACCCTGATCAGGCGATCTAATGAGTTTATTTATTCGTTACTATAATTATAGCACATAATTATAGGATCAACTGTTTATTATCTTCGGATTTTAAAGATTTTATAAGTATTAAATGTTTTTATAATAATTAGTTCTTTATATTGTTTATGCTTGATACATTGATAAACGTAAAATAAAATAAATCTCTCGTAACGTATTCAATAATTCTGAAAGTAATCTCCCATTATAATAAAAATATGAGATCACAAAATTATTTATTTCTTTAAAGTGTACCAATTAAAAATTTTTTAGTCATCAAACTATATAATTTAAAAAATTAATAGGGTTGTAAAACACATAATATACAATACAATTTTTAACAAGTTTAAACCAATAGATTTATCAGTGATTCTGACACTCAATAGAAATTATGCATATTATTGCAATAACAAGTTTCTTTATTTATAAATTAATTATAAACTGTAGATTATAGATTAAAAAATTTTTTATTTCAAGAAAAAATCTAATAATGCATTTTTTGATATTACTTGATTCAATTTGTTTAAGAATTTATTGATCGGTTGAAAAAATCTATACTATTTCTGATACACTTTGTGCATCTCCAAAGATATTACAGAAATACTGCCGGTGCCTTCGCATAATCGGAGACATCATATAACGAAATCGTCTCAGAGATCTCGGAAGGAGGAAGACGATGATGCGGGACGAAAGAAGCGGGATAATATGCCGCGTCTCTCCCGCGAGATATTGACACTTCTGTAATCCGTTTGTCGGGTTGTCGTGTGGGCAACCCGGGCTAATCCCGCTCACGCCCACCGGAGATTAAATCCCGACCGGTTCCCGATGCTGAGCACATTCGGACCAACTTGGTTTCTAACAGCGCGAACATGAGGCGGAGGTGCTTAAGACTCCGGTGCACGCATACGCCCGCGTACGTCAAACTGGGTCCACAGATCCAGGCGGAGGTTAAAAGCTCTTGATGCCTCTCGAGACGATGGATCGCGCAGACTTCTTTTTTTCATCTTCTTCCTGCGTTCCATATTTCTCGCGCGATATCGCGCCGGCCGTGCCGGCGCGGCGCGGCGCGCTTTGCTATCGGACTCGCTGCGCGGACTTCTTTCTCCGCTGCTGACAGCCTAAAAGGGTAATTAACCCTTCTGACTGTCCGACGAGAACTTTACGCGGCTCTCGTGGCGCGCTTGCTCGTTTTGTTTTCGCAAGCGATAAACATCGAGCGTGCGCGAGAGATATTCGGACCGAATGAGAACCGATATCGATTTATCGTTTGGGATTTATTGCGCAAAAAAAATCATACAAATCGTAATGTGTTCCTAATACGACTGAGAATACGAAGAAGAAGAGTTTAGACTTACCGCCGCCTAAGATGCCATTGATGGTGTAATCCTTCTTCCCGTCGTCCGCTGGTCGTCCGCCCCGAAGAAGTCTGCTGATAGAGCTGACGCTTGGCGGATCTGAAAAACCTTCCTGCATACAAACCAACGTTCTTCATTAAAATGACGAACAAATAATACAATTTTTTTCTATTATTATCAAAAATATTTGTAACTTATTACCATCGATCAATTTCTTTCTAGAAATACAAACTGGAAGTAGAATAAAATGATTAAAATTGTATGTAATGTTGCTACAACAAGCGAATTTTTGCAAGAAATTTTTCAGTATAAAATATATTATGCAAGATTATATTATAATAATAATAATGATAAAAAAAAAACAGTTCTATCGTATCCAGCCATCGCATTCGCCTTTTGTTTCCGCATTAATTCAAGTCACATAAAAACGCGCGCAATTTCCCAGGCAGAAATTGCTAGGTTTACGCAAATCTTCGCGCGTTTCCGTCTCGAGCGAGCGCTTGCCTCTTCGTCTCTAGAAACCGGTGAATGCGGATTGATCGATCATAGGAGTTACGTGCGCCGTCCGACCCGCGTGTGGCATTTGCAACTGCAGGCTACCGCACTGCAATTTGGCGCGATTATTTTCGTGTCGGCATACACATTTGCGCCGCCGAGAGATTCAGCGTTATTGCATATTGTGCCCCGACACCGTTACACGCGTTCACCAGGCTAGAATACGCTCGCGAATCCAGGTTGAGCCGGTGCTCGACGACGAAATCGTCGTGGAAATCGAAAGCAGCCTTTCAGCGCCGACGTGACGCGATCAGGTTTCATTACGTAATTAGTGCGGATGACGTAACAGCGATGATTCTGACTCTTTGATAAATGAATTGCTTATTCAAGAAATCATATAAATGAAGAAGTTCTATTTATTATTGTATTTAAGACGTGCAAAGACAAAACTTGGTGAACAGATGAATATCTGCACAATTGTTAGCCCGTTTTTAATTATCGTATCTCAAAAAACGGAAAGAAATTTTTAATTTGGTGAACAATCGCTCGCGAATCCGTTATCCTGATTATGTGAAAGCGCGATTCTTCCTTAATTACAATAGTTTTGGGGTTCTTGCGGTGTAGTCGTGAGTGACTGTTACGAGAGACGAAAGCGTCGCAAGATCACTGACAGGATTTCCGTTGAACCATTAACTTCTTCATAATAATTACGGTTTCAACGGGGTTAATGGTTAGTGATGGATGCTCGCCGCAAAGTGAGCTATCCTAATACCACAGCATATCATACGAGATAATAGCGGTCAAATATAAAGTACTCAATGTCTGTACGATCGTTTTTTACATAACGACTTCGCACATGAAAAAAATAAACTGCTGCATAGAAATCACTTATTGCGACGATGACATGTAAATTCAATTTTTTAAATCCTACTAAACAAAAAATAAAAAGTTTAACTCAAGAAAAGTAGCTTTTTAATATTATACAAAAAATGAGTGTATATAAAGTTCACTTTAGATCTATAATTTGCGACAGCATTTGAGGTGAAAATTTTAGAATTTGAAATACAATATACAGCAATGATATGTATTTTGTATGTTGTGTTCCAATTCTTCAAATATTTTCTATTACATAATGTTATAAATAAATTTTAATCTTGAATTTTATTGTAAGTTTTTAATCATTGAAGCTTATTAGAGCTGTAAAGCGTAATTCGCACAAACAACGTTTCATAAACCTTATACTAATATCGAATTTCATTACAATTTACAATGCTTTAAAACTCGAACGACTTACGTCATTCATATAAAAATATTATGTTTCATATGTGGTTTATATATAACTTCAATATCACGATGAAGATTATTCAAATCGAGTCCATAACTGATGTAGATTGGACGAGATGTTAGATACAGATCGTGAGCTCGTTATAGTGTTACAAAGATTTCTTCATATCTTCGTAATTCCGTATCGAGTATCAAGGAAATTTCGCGCCCGTCGCCACACCTACCGGCACCGTCTCGCCGCGAAGCCGCGAAAATCTCCGCACGTACGCACGCGCCGATACCGATCAGCGTTTATCAGCGGCGCGATCGAGACAGGACGGCGGCGGAGATCGAGTGCGTGCAACGAACGTGCGATTCGCTAAAGAGCACGACGGGATAAATAAAGAAAGTCAGCGGTAAGAGCATCGAGTGAGCATTATCCCGCGAGCCAAGGTGAAAGAACTTGCCTTTTGCCTTTGCCGAAGATTTAAAAGGAGGAAGAGCGGGTGGAAGCACGAAGAAGAGAGCGGCAGCTTGGAAGACAGAGAGAGAAAGAGAGAGAGAGAGAGAGAGAGAGAGAGAGAGAGAGAGAGATGAGGGAGGAAAAAAAAACAAAAGGGGGTCGTCGGTGTCGATCGCTATCTCGGCGGATCGCCGATCTCAGAAACAATAACGATCCTTCTGCCGGTGGTGGCCGAGGCGTCCGGGTCCGGGGCGATGACAGGAAAGAGAGAGACGACGGACGCGGGGCACCGACGTGGGCACGCCGCGCCTCGGGTGCGACGAGGAGAGAGGCGCCCTGCGGGCCTCGGGGTCCCAGGAACGCCCCCTTCCAACATTAAATGCCGTATTAATGCCGGCCACGACCGGCCTGCCTCCGCCGACTTGCAGCGGCGTACGTGGTCTCGAAACCGTTTCTCGTCCTTTTCTCGTCCGAGAGAAGGCTCACCTCTCGGTCAGCTCGGCCGTCTCGGTTCGGAGTCCGCCGCGCCGGTCCCCCTTTCTTCAAACGGTGTTTTTGGCGCTCGCTGTTTCTCCTCGCATGCGATCGCAGTCACTCTCGATGCTCCTCTCCGCTGCTTCGCTCGGCTCCGCTTTTCTCCTCGCCCGCTTTTCCTCTCGAACTTTCTCGCCGCTCACTCGCGTTCCCCTAATTTCTCCCTCGTGTGTTCTCCGCCGACAAAGTTTCTCTCTCGTTTTCGTTTGCATATTCCTATCACTCTCTCTTTCTCGCGTCTTTATTCCGTTCCCCGACGCTCTTGCGATTATTTCTTCACTCGCGTCTTGCTTTCTTCCGTCCTAGCTTTTGCTGGTTTATTTTATCACCTCTGCCCTGTATTTTTCGGCAGACTCGTCGCCCTTCGATTGATACATTTTCTCCTTATTGTCGCTCTCGCGGTCGTTGCGCGCGATGTTTCTTTCGGATAAGATTTATCTCTCTATCGAGGAAATCGCCCTCGGCGAGAGGAAGGCGTTCCATCGTCGAAGGAGGGCAAAAGTTTCCTCTTGCCTCACCCCGTCGGGATTTCGCACGGTTTCGGTTTGAGAACCGCCGTCGATCTTATCGCGGAGACACGTAAAGATACTCGAGTGCCCCGAGATCCGATACTTGACTTTTGTTGCTTCGAGAGAGGAGTGCTACCGCGTCGACGATCAACGTGATCGCAAATAAAAAGAAAACGAGTCTGGACATGAATTAGAATTCCACGCCGCTCGTGATGAAGCCACCGGATTAAATTAAAGCTGATTTAATTTGCTAATAATTCCTGAACTTCTTTTATTTCTGACAAACACAATTTCTAAACTTTAACCAGTTTCGAGGCGATGAATATATTTTTAAATATAACTTCATAATTATTGTCTTGCTCACAGAATCATTTTTTTTTTCATATACCATGCTACTAAAGATGCTGTTGATATCTCTTTTTGATTTTTACATTTTTTCCATACATATAATTTGTACGACATCGCAGTAACATATAATTAAATATGTTCTCAAACTTAGTATCTCGACGACGCGGGTAATTAATCTCTTCTCTCAACGATCATATCTTCCTCGTACACTTTCAACAGTGATTTTTTTTAATCGGAAAAAGCATCGAACGATACATCGGGATTGGAGACGCAACGCGGAAGAGATTATTTACGAAAAAATTGCATTTGCATACTCGAAATTCAAGACGCGGAGGTGTTACGCCAATGAGGCGTGGGTGTAGACGGCGGTCAGTAATGTATTAAAGGACACGCGAGTCGCCTCAGGCCACTCACGTACCCCGCTGCTCGTACACAAGATTAAAAAGCCCCCATTGAGTGAGTATGATCCCCGAGAGAGATAGAGACACGAGTAACCGCGCAGAAAACGTCCACCTTCGATCGATGGGTCGAGCCCGATCGCTCGCGGGATTTTCGCGGATGGAAAAATGCCCGCGTGACCGGAATAATGAATCGTAGCTGGAAAATGCGATTCGATGCAAGTGTCAAAGACACAGATACTGTTTTTATATCTTTTTATAACAATAAATTTCTCGATGTGCTCTCTTTCTCTCTATTAGTGGTTTTTATATTATTTTTATGTTATAATTGTTATAAATTTTTCATTAATCAATATTATTTTAATTTATATTTTGAATTTACAATTCTGAAATAATCCTCGGATTTTATTAATATTTCATACAGTTGTTATTAATTTATTTCTTGCAAAACAGATAAATCACAAAATCCAACATTTTTTAACGATTTACATTTACAGTCTACAGTAATTAATATTATTGCTTAGGTTTTCGTTGTTGTTTTATTAGTTTGAGAATCTTATTATATATTACTCTTTTTTTAAAATGTTTTATTATATAATTATAAAATTATAACTTATAATTATAAAATAATAATATGCAAGTGATTTTCAATACTCACCTTCATGAGTTTGTCACGGATTTCCCAAGAAAATATTCCCGGATTGTCTCTCTTTAATTCCTCGATCCTCCCCTCGACTTCCGGCGTGGCCACTCGCGGTTTACTACCACCAATCACGCCCGGACGGATAGATCCAGTTTCTTGGTATCGATTAAGGATTTTCGAGACACAACCGTGAGAGACACGAAGTTGCCTGGAAATAACGCAAGGACGAACTCCTGCGGCGGCCATTTCTACGATTTTCAAACGGATATGATTGGGGAGAGGTCGCCCGTTAATAAAGACTCCTCCTAGCTGATTCATCCGCCCTTGTCCTGTAAGACATAAATTAATAGACGTAAGAGTTTTACGAAAAATTAATAAAATCCAAGGATTATTCAGAACAATAAATGTGAACTGCAGAATATAAATACAAATAAATTTTTTGACTTAAAAATTACTTTATATGTAATACATCGCTATTTTGACTATCAAAGTATACTTTTTGCAGCTTTATTTTTTAATGACAATGTTAAAAAAATTTGAAAGTACAATCAGTTATTAGAAAAATAATACCTATCAGTTTCTGCGCTGCAATAAAAATTTGTAGTTTCTTGGTACAAATCGCGGAAATACTCTGCAAATAATAATCGTAACTCGTTCTCGTTGGAAAAACGCAATGAAGGAAGGGAAAGAAAAACAATTTGAAGAGATGCTCGGTAAGTGCAATTGCGGTGATTGAGCTTGAAATTAACGGCGGAATCGGACTTGGGCGCAAACATGAAATCAAATAACAGGACGGCGGTGCATTCTCTCACACGAGGATACCAAAAACACGGCTAACAGCCGTAAAATTGAAGAAGTTATATGCGGCAAGGAGGCGTGTACCGCGGCCATTTCCATCACTAACGAGTATAAAGTCGGATCGTTAGTCGAATTAGCCACCCTTCCGTACGTGACATTAGCTGCCGTATCATCAGTAAGCCCCCCGGGTAAGTGCGCCGCGCGAGATGCCCGCACGCGTAATTACTATGTTTACGCATTACGGACGCTCCGAGTACACAACGGAGACGAGTAATTATAATAATCGTCTTAAAGCGCGCACGCTCGGAACGACGGCGTCTCATTGTCACGAAACGATCGTCATAATTTTCAATCGGCCGGGGTCCTTTTCGGGATCCGAGCTAGTTTTTGACCGCACGCGTGCATATTAGCGATGGTAATCGTCGCTTTCGTCACGCTAACCAGGACCGCCTGTTTGTCGGAATGTTCACTTGAGATTTCTGCCTCTCTCGTGTGTTCTTCGGTACACCGAAATTAATGTTTATTCTGTAACTACAGTTTTTATAAATATAAAACACCCTCTAATAGATATATAACATCCATTTCACGGCAAAAAAAATTAATAAATAAGATTATTAAAAAAATTAATATTTGGATTATCTTTACTCAATCAATAATCTCACAATACAAATTATAATTAACTATAATATATATTATTATAAGGTTTTGACATTTACTTTTGATTATTTTTAATAATGTTTCCAATTTAAACATCCAATTTTTCATTTATGAAGTCATAAATAATTCAAAAATTTTTAATGCAAGCAAAAGCAATGGCTGTCAATCACAATGTATGCATTAGTCTATCGTTATTTCATGAACTGTCTGTTAAATAACTACTTATACGAGTGAAATATATTGTTCTGACGATACAATTCTTGATACCTATTACTGCAATACTCTGCATAATGTACTCAAGAGAAAATTATGTCACGCTTATTATTAAATATCCGCGTCCAGCACGATAATATCGAAAGTAGTTTGTCTTATTCAATTTCGAAGCGCTCTTGTGTTAAAGATGAATATCAATTAAAACGCGACGAAGGAGAATGTTTAATATGTGGCCAGGCACGGCCAACGCGCGTTACCATTTAATTTACGACGGAGTCGTTCGCTTTGGACAGGATTGATTTATCAAAATCGCACGGCGGTGTGTAATCGATCGAATGTGTGTTAATGGTGATCGTGACTGAATTTAATTATCGTCTTAATAACCGAGCGCGAACGTGACGATTAAGCGCCCGCATTGTTACCGCGGCGTTGCGTAAATTATTTAATCGCGCTAATGGGATTTTCAAATGCGACGATTAACGTCAGCGTAATTCGACGCAAATGCACCCTTTTACGCGCACTGTTATTATCGCGCGCGCGCGCGCCGTCTGAGACTGCGCGAGCTCAGATAAGATCTGCGAATCGCAATTAAGAAATGCAAATCGCAAATCTGTTTTTCATTAGAATACTTATGCATTATTATCATTAAGAATTGTATTTGAGCAGCGCGATTATAATTTGTCGTAATGTCTAATTAATTTATATAAAAAACTTATAATCTATACAGCAGTATTCTCACTTTAACCTTTTAAAAACTCTCACTTCTTTCCAGTTTTTAAAAAATCTTTTGAAATGATAAAATATTCAATATTCATCATATTCAAAGCTCTACCTTTTTCATGAAAAAATATTCCTTTTTGACAGAGCTAAATTAGAAATCTTCTTAAAATTGACTACTGAAAAATTCTGTTATGTTGTCTTTTTAAGCATATTACTGTCATCTAATAAAATGTTGAAACAAAAAAAACATTAGATAAGCTCGTCACCTCATTATTTTGTCAAATTTTAGAATCTACCCAGGGAGAACAACAGGTCTAAGAAACGTCTAATAGACGTCTATAGACGTCTATTAGACGTCTATTAGATGTCTATAGACGTCTATTAGACGTTTCTTAGATCTATTGTTCTCCCTGGGTAATTTTTCTTTCAATTTAACAGTTATTTTTTTTTGCAAAATAATTTGGAGCATGCGAGACGCAAACTAACCTTGGAACGGATATCCACCGAAAATAGGCCTCATTCCGCCGGTGACATCCATGCCGGCGAGTGGTCCTTGTTGCGTTATCCGACTGACACTCTCACACACACTGGAGTTAGGAAACGCGCGTCCCTTGCATTCGCTCCAGAAGGAAAAGACTCTTCGTCCAGCATCCAGCGGGAAAAACGCGCTATGGTCGTGCGTAGACGTGACCGCGCGAGGATGATGAAGAAGGGAAAAAAAAGGCAAAGCGAGGGAGAAAAGAGGTAGCGGTGACGGCGGGAAGAAAACGCGTTACGAGGGGCTAAGGCGACGCCGGCGCGTGAAGTCGCCGCAGTTTGAGAACGTTGCGTTCGTGGACGGGGGCGACAATTCTGAGCCGAGAAACAACAAGAAAACGAATCGACAAGCACGCGTTGCTTTCGTTGCGAGGGGTACCGCGGCAATAACGTGTCAGCTGGGGTACCGGGTGTCTCTCCCTCGAGAGAGAGAGCGATCCGAGGGGGGCTCTCTCCCAGTTCGACGGAGACGGAGGGTAGGCAGAGGGGGGTTCTCGTGGTCCCGAGATGGGACTCATAATACCAAGCAGGGTACCACCGTTGGCTACGCCCTGCCACGTGGTTGGCAAACGTATTCCGTACAATGGGCGGCTCTGCCCACGGGGCCGCCCACAGAACGTGTCCCCGTGTTATACCGTCGAGGTGGTTTGCATCGCGTGTACCCACCGCTACTGATATGTGTACGCTACCAGAGACGATAGTGCGACGGGCGAAGTGATTGCTGGTCGTTAAGTGATTTTTCAGTGGAATGTCGTCGCCGTCTCTCACGTATCTACTTAAGTCCTTGAGCCTTAGGATCTAAATGAACGCTATTTAAATAAGACAAGGGAACATTTTTTTTTGTAATAATAAATTTAATAATAAAGAACAACATAATTAATCAAGTCACTTTTCTTAGTTTCGCATGCGATGTTTATATATTTCCTATTCAAATTCAACTCTTTCTAATTTCAATAACTTGCCTGATAATGTCCAATAATTGTAAGCACAAATATATGCAGATGGTACGAGCAACTTCATCATCTCTCATAACGACCAAGATACATCCTCCAAGAGAGATGAATTATGACAGGATGAGCAGTGAATGGAAGCAAGTCCACTGGGGATACCAGTAAGAAAAATATTGTATTAAGGATATTAATTGACAATTGTTTTTTGGTATTGCGAGAGTTTTTTTTCTAATTATCCGGATATTTCCTGTCGGAAGTATTTGCCGTCGGCCGCGTTCGGCCAAAACGACGGAATATTTACGACTGTCACTGTCCCGAGAGTAAGATCATAATGAACGCGTGATGGGCCCGATATAAATTTTTACGAAGGGTATATAGGGCACCATAAACGCGTCCATGTACCCGCTTGTAAATCTCCTCGCACAGTAGCCAAACCCCGAGGCCCATCGAGAGCGCTGGGGGGTCCCGCGGGACTGTCACGAGCTTCCTCCTGAAAAACTCTTGAAGTATTTGTCGCTGCGACGAGCTGAAAGTCAGGGATATATAAACCCCGCCGTAGGTGGCTGCAAATATTGTGCGCCAAATTTCGTCGACCGAGGGACCGACTTGCCGGAGATTTACGGCTGATTATAGCGATGTAATTTGCGAAAATTATCTCGAATAAGTTTAAGAATTGATTACGGAGTTAATATCTACACATGTGGATAACGTTAATTAATATTGTAGAAAAATAACTTGAGAATATACAATTCTGACGAAATGTTCAACGCTTGATAAGATTGTAGAAAAACAAAATGTATCATAAATTACTCATTAGCTTTCTTGATTTTAAGAGTAATTATTAACTATAAAAAATGAAGAATTTTGCAATATTAGATTCAAATTTTTAAAATAAAAATTTAAAATAAAAATAAAAATTTAACTAGAAGCAATAAACTTGCAATAAGAATCGTGATTTATATCACAATTCGTAGAATAAAGAAATCTATACAAAGAGAAGGCTCAAATTCAGGGAGTATTTTCGAAGTAGTTTTACAATAGACGTTAAATATTATATTGCGTCGTTTCAACAGGTCTAAAAGATAGATTTAGTGAAGGCATGCCGTGACGAAACTAAGATGATTTTACTCTGCGGGGGAGTGTGCCTGCTATTGCAGTTAATCGTGCTTCCGAGCTATCACAAAAAATCAAACTGTTGCGACAAAAAATTCTCTTCTATAGTTCTCAACACAATACTGTACAATATATATATATAATAGCGTTTTAAATTTAGTTATTTCAGGTATTCCATAACTCACGACCTTAATTTTGGTAAGACATTCTCAAATAAATTTGGAATAAATTTTTCCTTAGCAAAAATATTTAAAGGCAAAAATAGTTTCCGAAATATAAGATTGAAAAAGAAGCTTTTTATGAATTAAATATTAGAAGGAAAATAGGTAACGTAGTAAACATTATTTTTAAGTAAATCTTATTTTAATAGATTTTTTATTTAAAAATGATTTGCAAAGATATGAGTGTGTGATATTGAAAAGTTGTGATAAATAGTGACAATTTTACTAAGGAAAATTAACTAAGGATATACTAAGGAAATATACTAAGGAAAAATTAACTTTAAACTGAAAATTTGTAAGATCGGCACAAGATCATAGAAACACAGGAATGTCTCGGTAAGTTCTTCGGATTTAAAAATTCAATACTTACGTTCGTAATGCTCCACTCAAGGCACTCAAAATATTTTAGAACTGGAACTATTGCCATTATACTCCATTTTAACTATCAAAGAAATACGTTACCTTATTTAGTATGAAATTTCGGAAATATAATAAAAGAAAACGTTTTACATCAATCGCACCCATGTAGTTTCACACTAGATGATCTATGTAACATGCTACTTTCAGCGTTTAAATCCACCGTTTCCTTTGTCAATTCATCCTGCAACAACATTAACAACGACTTTAACTTTCGGACGTGTGCTACTGACAGGGATCCGGAAAAATACGTTTGTTCGGCAATTAGCAGACAGAACAGCGTGTCATTGCGGAGAAAGAGGTGTTACGAAGTCGCTTTCGTTCCGTGCGCCTTTCGGGCGAGCGTAGACAATACTGGTCTCAATATTTCCGCGCCGATGTATTTTTTCGGGCATTGTCTAGGAACCGGTAAATCGTCCGTGAACCGCGGTCAAGTGCCCGTTGGGACCTGATGGTCATCGGACCTGAAGAAAGTTTTTGACTCGATTGCTCTTCCACGACAAGGTCGCACGCAGAGAAGAATCGTGATTGAAACAGGCAAACTGTCAGGTAGCACGCTGTAACGCGGAGGAAATCGATTAGTCGATTTCGAGGTCTTCTGAGGATCTCGAATCCGACAGGACTTTGACCCTTCGTTGAACGCCGGACAGGTTTTGTCGCGATCGATGTCTCGCCTAAAATCGAATTTGCTGCCGCAGCAGCAACGCTTGTTCTTTATCCTTTTTCTTCAATTCTTCCGATCAGAGGAAACTAACCAATAAAAAAATGAAGTAAGTTAACAATTATTTTACAGAAAATAACAAAATTTTAAAACCTTTTATTATCTATATAAAATCGTAGAGGGCAAGCTTCTTTTTTCTTACTTTTTTTAGTTAGAAATCTTAAGTTTTTAATTTTTTGCATCAAATCCGAATTCTTAAATGCTTAGCTGAATAAAAATCATAGAAGTATGAATTTTAATCTCCATCCGTTGCACGCATTCCAAAATTACCGCTGCTATCGGAAACCGTGAGTAGAAACGCATCGTATATTTCTCAAAACGTAAGATTGATCAAGAGTCGATATTACAACAGACATTGCATTCATATTTTTATCCTACACACTGTAATCCGTTTTTGCGCTGAGTTCACGCGAGAGAAAGCGCGAGTTACCACGCGGATAAGGAATGTTCTTTTGAGCTCCGCGGCCGTACGAGTCGATCGCGGAGTTAGATCACTTAGCAGTTAAACCGTGAAATAAAACGATTCCGCTTCCGCGCGCGAGCGCGATTAGACATCCGAGAAACACCTGTAGCCGCGTAATCACGAAACGCAGCTCGCTCTCGTAAGAGCCCTCGACGTTTCCTCGCATGCTCGCGGCGAGCGAGAGACGGTCGAGGGAAAGGCCCGGGCATTTAAGACTCGGCCGAAATAACAAAGAAAAAAAAAAAGAAAGGAAGAAAGAAAAGGGAGAAAAGAAGAGAAGACAGGAAGATGAAGAGGAAGCGACCAGCGGGAGAGGAGGGGAGAGACCGGAGAGCATTTAGGAGCTCCTCGTGGCGGCTGCGTTCCCGCTGCAGTTCTCGATTTCCGAGGGCAGCGCCCACTAAAACGGCCGCGCATTAAAAATTCTAATGGGTCACCGCGCGTCGCGCGGTACCGGCTTTCTCACACCTAGTTTAACATAACAACGGGCCTCGCACTCCGACGTCAGCCGAAAAGTCCGAAGAAATTCGTCCATCCTGTCTCCCGCCGTCGTATGTACAACACGTTCGCGTCCGCGTTGTGTGCGCCGGGCTCTGCGCGCCCCCGTCCACGCCTGTGTTGGTAATCGGTGAGGGCCGCGCCGCGGGCGTCTTTGACAACGAGACTGATGTCGGCGTATCACTCATCAAGATTTATCGGGACTTAGACTAATTGCCGCTTTTAATAGAAATTCGTGCGCGGCTACGGGACTCGACAGAAAACGCGTCGGAGCACGTCGAGCCGGGGAAAGAAAGGGGTCCGGGGCCCCATCAAAGGGACGACCCGAAATTGTTTTACATTCTACGCTCGAATTCGTAGGTGGACGATCGATGACCTCGAGTCATTTCTTCCCGGTAATTGAATTGGAATCTTATTAGCCGTCTGAAGTTTCAATGAGAGGTGCCGGCGCGGACGACGAGGATGAATATTCATCTGCCCGATGATTGACTATAGCGTAGGATTCAAGTTAGAGATCGTGACGTAAACTACACGGCACGAAGGCATACGTTTCAATTGAATATATTTCAATGAGAAGCACAATGTTGGTTTATAGAGATATTTAAAACGGCGCAAAATGATTCTTTGATG